GAACCTTCTGGCTGAGTTCCTGAGCCGGCAGAGCGGACATGCAGGAAGGGGCTGGGAGGTGGTGAACCTGCAGAGGCAAGATAGTCCCTCCAAGGGATCACATAGGGCTGGGTGCAGGCTATACCCTTCCTGCCTAGGCAGCGGGGAGACAGGCAGGCAGGCTACAACTTTCCGGAGTTTCCTTCCAAGGGGTGGTGCAGTTCCCTGCCTGCCCAGAGGAGAGGCAGAGTGCGTCTTCAACAGTCCCGGAGATAATTGCATTGTCTTCTGTGTGTGGGAGGGGTAGTGTCTTCAGAATCAAAATTTTCAATGCTGTCTAATAATAAACAAATGTCCACTTTGGTCTATTTATAGCGGCCGAGCGGGAGGATTAGTTTAGGGGTTATTTTTGGAGCCGGCTTAAGACACAGTTGCTGGAGACAGTGTTTCTGATCTAATCAAGCAAACATTTTCCTCTATATTAAATCCCCAGTGGGCATCCTGAAAGAGGTCTGGTCTCCCTCTCCCCACCCGGGGCCCCTCTGACACATTCCAAAGAGATTGATTAAATGGATTGATCCTGGGCGGAGGGGAAGGCAAGTGAGGGGGAGGGTGCACACCATTGGGCAGCCAGCGAGTGTGAGACCAAACAGACTCATCTGACAAAGCATTCACAGCCATGGGCCTCACCCCTCCTTGGGCACTTGCCCCTTGCTTGCCTTTTCCCTCTGTACTTCCTCAGCAGGGAAGTGGTGCTGATCAGGCCTCCAGGGCTGGGAGTGTGTTGGGGAAAATTAGACCCTTCACTGGCTAAAAGAAGCTGCAAAAAGCCCAGCGGAAAATCTGGTCTTGTATGGGAACAACAGGCACATCCTTGTGGCCTCTTGATACTCCAGCGGGGGGCGATCCCTGCCCTGTGCCACCAGGGAGAACAAGTCATACTGCCCTGTTCCCCAACCCGAACTTGGCATGGGCCTTATTATCGCTAGCATGGCAGCCTGTTCCCAACAGGATGGCTATTCCCTGCCCTCCCACTTACTGCCCCATGCCTGTGTTGTGAGGAGGGATGTTCTACCATGGCCTCTAACTGAGCAGCTCATGCTTTGAACCCTGAGATTTGAGCCTCCTTCTTGTCTTGCATAGCGAGACAAAAACCTTCTTCCTAGGGGTCGTGCCACCATCCAGGCCTTGGAGTTTCCCCTGCAGCAGTTGACTAGATGCCCCCATGCCCGATTCCCTGTCTCAGGGAAGGAACAGAGCCCATTTGTGCTCTTTCCCCCCTCTCCCCCCCCCAGCTCATGCTTTGAACCCTGAGATTTGAGCCTCCTTCTTGTCTTGCATAGCGAGACAAAAACCTTCTTCCTAGGGGTCGTGCCACCATCCAGGCCTTGGAGTTTCCCCTGCAGCAGTTGACTAGATGCCCCCATGCCCGATTCCCTGTCTCAGGGAAGGAACAGAGCCCATTTGTGCTCTTTCCCCCCTCTCCCCCCCCCCAACGTCTTTGGACCTTTCTGGGAATGATTAGCACATATGTGATAGGGATGTAAAGGGTTAATTGGTTACCCGGTAAGCATCACCATTGAGCCAGGTCATGCTTACTGGGTAACCAGTAAAAAGGAACCCCTTCTCCCTCCCCCCCAGCCCAGCTGGGCCCACCATACCACAGGCAGAGTGTGCTGGAGCAAACTCCCACCCACAGCATGGGCAGGGGGAGGGGGGCTGCTCTAGCCTGGCCATAACTGGTTCACTTTATAAACAGGATTTTACATCTCTAATATGTGACCTACGCAGTGGCTATGTGCTTGTGGCTAGTTTGGTTTTCACACCTCAGTTCAGCTCTATTCTCGTACTGGAAAAAGGCCACTTGCAACTTGCCACCTTCTCCCCTCCCCCACCCCCACCCCATGGACCAAAGGCCCAGCCACCCCGTCTATTCAGGACCATTGCAGCGTCTGCTCTTCCCAGCCACTTCCCTACCCTGGGGACCTGAGCAAACAAACTTGGCTCCCCCTCCCAGTTAACCAGCCCAGCTGTATGCTAATGCAGGGACAAACACATTTCTGCTTAACTCTCCTGTACTGAGTAAAGTCAGGCAGAAGCATTCAAGCTATTGTCACCCACCCCAGCACTTCCTAGAACAGAACAAAACCCTCCCAAAAAGCACCCACTGTGAGGAATGACTGATGGGTGGCGACGAATTTCCAGTTCGCTTGTAATTCATCATTCCCAGGACTCTGCCCTTCCCCCCTCCCCTTCCCTCCCCTCTCCCCGCCACCCCCAATTTCTCTTTGTCTTTCTTCTTTTTCACTTTTGTGTGCGTCTGGTTTCTACAGCGCTTGGCAGCTGGTTGTGGTTTCTTCTCTCGCTCCGGCTTTGTTTGCTGCACACTGATTGATTGAGATTGCTTTCTCACCCCTCCATTGCCTCCCTCCTCCCCCAAACAATCCAGGGTAAACCAGTAGGCCGTTCCCCTCCAGCCAGCGGACATATGAGGAGAATTAGCTATGTAAATAAGGGACTGCAGCCAGGCAGGTGGCTCAGGTAATGGCTGGGGGGGAGGTGTATGGTGTTTGCTACTGGGCACCAGTCCAAGCGGCGGTTGAAGGCAATTCAGTTCCCTAGGAAGCTGGCTGAGTGCAGGGGTGGAGGTGCCCTGCTGTGCGCACACACGTGCGCGCGCGCACACACACACAGACAGGTGCAGGGAGCAGCAGCAATCAAGGCCAACACACCCCAGCCCCCGCAAGCTGGGCGAGGCAGGGCTCGTGCCAGAGCTCAGCAGCTGCTGCCACCTGACCTCCAGCTCAATCACCAAAGGCTATGAGCTGGGGCAGGGAGGCCTGGGAAGCGGATGGGGGTGGGGCTAGCTCAAGGTGCCAGGACCGAGCCGATTGGGCACAAGCTGTTGACACAGGTGTGGGAAGAAGCCTCGGCGCATCAGGAGCGCAAACACACCTGCTGCTAGCCAGGCAGAGGCTGGGGGGGAGCTCAACCCAGCAAGGTGGGCTGAGCAGGACGAGCCTTGGCAAAGACAACAGCATGAAGCCCAAGTCTCACGCCTGAACCTCAGAGCAGAGTCTGCACCAATGTCCGTGGCAGAACCGCCCCCCTTCCAATGGGTGCAGGAATAGTGCCTTTGCTTGCTGCTTCTCTAAGCAAGGCCCAGGGGAGCCAACAGACTGGCCGGGCCCCTGGGCAAGGTGTGGCTCTGTGCTCCCAGAAGGGGTGGGGCTTCAGGTGGAAGGGGCGGGGCTGCGGGCAGTCAGCCATTAGTGCTGCCCAGAGTGCGCAGCGTGGCATTCTGTGGGTGACTTAAGGGAGGGGTGGGGGCCAAAGCCCCCATCCCTTTTGAATCACTGGGCCCTGGCGGAACTAGTCCTGTCCCCCCCAGCAGGCTTGGCAAGACCCCAGCTCAGCTGGAACTCATTGCATGTGACTATCGGGTCCCATCACTTCGCCTCACGTGCCTCTCCACCCCACGTGCATCTGGTACAAGCCCATGGCCTGGGCCTGGTGTTTATTCCCAGCATATGCCGCAGCTTAACAGCAAGATCATGGAAAAAACTCCACACTGTGCAAGAAACTAAGCCCACCGCACTGCAAACTGCAGCCTCTGCGGTATTCCTAGGGTGTGCCTTGCCCTGTGGCTTTGTGCGAAAGGCCCATGTTGTTATACACTTGGGGCCTGGCAATGAAATGACGTTCCAGCAATCTGGGCAGACACACACACAGTGAAACCCAAGTAACTGTGACTGCAGCTCCAACTGGGGGCTGGGTGACTTCACCGCAGAGGAGGCTGGGATCCATGTGGTGCAGTTAGTAAGAGACACTGTTTCCATTTTCTTTCCCGGGTGGGAGGGGAAGCATTAACCTTTGCATCCCTGTCACCCCTTCTCTGCGGTTGATTGTTTTAAAGGGAGTGGGCAGAGTCAGGGATTGAAATGAAGACATTTGGCTCCCTGCAGAGGAAGGGGCAGAGTGGGTGTGCATCTCACCCAGCTACTTTGAAGGAAAACACCTGATTTCAGGGTGAAACCTCAGGCACCTTTCCCTCTTGCTAAGGAGGAGTTTGCTGCGTGTGTTTCAGTGAGCGCTTTCAAACCCCACCGGTTTCCAACATTTCCTTTTGTCCAGCGATTCCAGCTCTGGTGCCCTCTTGTTCCCCCCATCCAGTGAATGTTAGCCTGGCTTGAGAGAGGTTGTGATCAATATGTTCACTAGGCAGCGTGTTTTAACCCAATCGCTCCTTTAAAGAGCAGCAGAGTTGGGCTGGAGCCACAGAGCTCAGCGCCAGATCTAAATTGCCTCCTAGCTCAGGAGCACGTGGATCTAGGATTAAGGTTAGGGCCTTAAGAGGAAATGAATGACAAAGCACCCACTCACCCTGGCCTCCTGAGTGGTAATGAATGGTTTAGCCTCTAGTGCGGGAGAGGCAGAACCATTATGAAAAGCCTGACCAACACCCCCTTCTGGCAGTCCTTGATAGTGCAGAATAATGTCTGTGGAGGCATGTACAGATGTGCACCACCAGTAGACACACGCTGTGGGCACTCTGCTAATCAGCTAGGCGGCATTTGAATCTCTCCAGGGTGGCCACCCAAACTTTCAGCTGACAGGGAGTACTGAAGTGATAGAAATGTAGCCGTGTTAGTCTGGGGTAGTTGAAGCAAAATGCAGGACAATGTAGCACTTTAAAGACTAACAAGATGGTTTATTAGATGATGAGCTTTCGTGGGCCAGACCCACTTCCTCAGATCAAAAAAAAAGGGAGTACAGGTGCAGAAGCCTCTTTCTGCCCTTCTCTACCTCACGCTAAGATCACTGTTGACAGCTGGGGTGATGGGGCAATAGCCCAGGTCAGCAGCAGGCCCTTTTCCTCCAGCAGCACCTGCAGTCTGGAAACATTTGGAAACTGGAAATCAGTAGAAGCAGGATTACCGCTCCCCCTCCCCCAGGGATGGGCACAAAGCAGCAGGCCCATGGTCACATCAATTCTAATGATGTGTTGTTATCTCTTTCAGACCTTCATCTTCACCGACGGGGAGGATGAGGAACTGAAGAAACGCACAGGTGAGTCAACCAATCTCGTTCTGTTTTCCTTGCTGCCTGGCGGGAGCCTGGTAAAGGTTTTAGGTACATCTGTGGATTCTTTGGGTCCAAAAGCAAGTGCAGGGTGTATACTCCATTGCTCTCTGAACCTGGAGTAGTTCAGCCTCCCAGGTTCCTTTGGGACATTCAGAAGTGCCCACTGCTAGCACCAGATCTTTGAACAGTGTTTAGGTGCCCAATGAGCAGCCAGATTTTCAAGCCAGTGGAGCAGTTTGGGTACTGAAAAGGGAAGTGGTGGGCACTGGGCGCTTGTGGCTGTCTGGCCCTCTGTTACAGCAGCGTGACATCATCGACGTCATCGGCTGCTGCCGTGAAGACAGTGTAATTCCCAGCACCTCGACTGCCCTTTGGCGGCCTCCTCTTACTCCAAGCTAGGACTTAGAAGGAGGTTTTCAAGGCCAGGACAGAAACTGAATGTGGCGGTGGCGCCCCACGAGGATTTCAGGGTGGCTTGTTACAGTCGCGGCCTCTGCAGAAGACAGACAGCGGAGAGCCCCCGGTCGCTAATAACGCTGTTGCTTTCTCTTCCCCCACCTGCCCTTGGGAAAGCAATCAGGGCAGCCAGCTGCCTGGCAATGGTTTGATCCCCAAGCTTCCTTGTGAGGCAGAGGAGAGGTGCCTTTCTAGGGCAGTTTCCCATTGGAGCCCTGTGATTAACTGGTGCTCAAGTAGCTTTCAACAGAGGGAGGGAAAGGGACTTACTCAGCGAGTGTTTATTCAGCTCCCCCCCCCCCCCCCCCACTCGATTCTCAGTCAGACCCTGCCTATTCTTCTGATGTAAATGAGTCCCTTTCAGGCCCTGAATCAGTTCCCTTTGAGATGGCCCAGCAAATAACAGGTGGCGGGGGAAATGTTGCATGAATAGGCCAGGATTCTGGCTAACAGACCCCAGCAGAGAGGCAGAGGATCCACTTCAGAGCCTCCACCCGCCCGCCTTCCCGGAGGCTGAGCGTGCAGCCTTGCAAATGCAGGGAGGCAGCAGCTAAATGTGAGCTGAGCATGGGTAGAGCTGAGCGAGGGACGATCCCTTTCTGCTCTCGCGATTCTGCAACAGCACTTGGTAGGAACGCTTCAGGCCCCTTCGTCTCTCACAGCCTCAGAAGCAATTCCCTGGGGACTCCGGGCCCCAGAGGGTGCTCTCTGCTGGATGCTTTAGATGAGGGCCATGCCACGCCTATTATAAGGCTAGGCAGTGCCAGTACAGAATGCTACAGGTCTAGCACTGTACAATACAGCTGTAGGATCTGAGACCTGGTCCTAGCCATACTCTAAGTTGGGGGGGCATCTTAGCCTTCCTGAGCCAGCTGCAGAAAGGTTGATGGGACCGTCGGCATCTTTCTGACCTTTCTTCATTCTGCCCCACCCTTCCCTTTTATGTGGGAGGAAAGTAGCTGCCTCTGCTCTCCGGGAACCCTGTGCTCAGAGAGGGCTCTAAGTAACTGCTACTGGCTACAAAGGAGCAAGAGCTCTTCCTTGGCCAAACCGGTGGCCATGTCCCCAGCAGCTCGCTGCCAGCTCCGCTTCTTGGGGAGCGTTGGGGCTGGGGTGGGAGTGGGGTGGAGGTGGGCAGGCTACTTCCATGCACTCAAGAGTGTGGTTGGGGAGAGAGACTGATCCAACTAACTGTCCCTTTTCTCTCCACACCCTCTTCCCGCTACAGCCAACGTCATCAACACCAACTGTTCCGCCGCCCACAGCCGCCAGGCTTTGTCTTGCAAGATGGCCGTGGAGTACGACAAGTTCATCGAGTCCGGGAGAAAGTAAGAAGGGAATGAATGTCCTGACAGAGCGTGCAAGCGCGTGTCTGGTGTGTCCATATGCATGACAGTTTGTACACGCGGGAGAGCCCATGTGTGGCCGGGTGAAAGTGCAGGAGTGAGAGAAGAACTTGAGCTGTGGAGCCTTCTGGTGACCAGCTACAATGTGGCTGCGAGATTTTTGGTTTCCAGGAGCAGACCTTGCCCGTATGAGCTAGTGACTGGTGCAGGGGGTTGGTCTGTTTGTGTGGCCTTGATTAAACTCTCGCACCTCAGTTTCCTGGGGCCAAGCAGGGATAACAGCTACCCACCATTGCCAAGCCCCCTGCTGAAAGGAGCTCACGGAGGGCTGAGTAGTACCAGACTAACTGAGTCCCTTCTGGTGCTCCCAGGTGGTTTTGTCATGTGGATGATGATAACTATGTGAATGTCCGGACCCTGGTGAAGTTGCTGTCTGGCTACCCTCACACACAGGACATCTACATCGGCAAACCTAGCCTGGACCGACCCATTCAAGCCACAGAGAGGATCAGTGAGAACAAGATGGTAAGAAAGCAGGACATGGGGTTTAGTAGGCTAATGGGAGGCAAAAGTCTAGTGGCCAAATTGAGCCTGAAGAGAGGGGTTTTCAGCTCTCACTGAGCTGGTGATAAGTTGAAAAATGCCATTGTTTTCAATATGGAGATGATGTTTAATAAGGAAATCACTCTCCCTGCTTCTGAGCCCCAGGCGTGGCTGTGTGTCCTGCATGTAGATGGGATCAATTTAACCTATGCAGGGAGCAGTAGAGACAATTCTCTCTGGATTGCCTAAATCAATAAAACATTCATGGGGACAGAGGGGAAAAGGCTGGTTTTAAACCCTGCTGTTTTGCTTCCTGTCTCTTTCGCAGCATCCTGTTCATTTCTGGTTTGCCACTGGGGGAGCAGGTTTCTGTATTAGTCGCGGTTTGGCACTGAAGATGAGCCCATGGGCAAGGTAAGGGGATCAACACTTGGCACTGATGTTTCATAAGACTTCTAGAAAGTCCTGGATTGTTCTGTGCAAGTTGGGATGGGGGCAGACATGGCAGAGTAAAGATCACTGGTGATTCAAAACTCAGCTGCATCCTGAAGTCCAACTCTTTGTGGACTTTGTTGATTCCATCCCAATGTCTAGTGGAGTGAAGTCCACATCATCCGGGTGGGTGCTCAGAAGTCCACCAAGGAGCTAGGAAGGAAATTAAATTGTTCTAGCAAGCCAGAGTTGAGGTCATTTGGTGCAGTAAGCCTAAATCTAGAAATTAATAAGAAAAGAGGCTGAATTCCTCCCACCCCGGCCCAATCAGGAGGTGGGGCATGTCTCCAACTCAGGGTTGGCACCAGTTTTCCCTCTAAGATTTTCCAACCATGAGCAGAGTGAGTTTTGGCTTATGCACCAATACTGTGGTCATATGCGCTGGTTCGGATGTGTGCCACTGTGGCATCCAATTTATTAACACACACACGTTCTTGGCCACCGGAGTAGAAACCCTCGACCCTCCGCCACCGTGCAGCATGTCCTGTTCCCACCGCTGGAGCAGACCGTGCCCTCCCTCCCCCGGCCAAGAGGCATGTCCTGTTCCCAGCTACCAAAGCAGACACCCCTCCTCCCCACCATGCAGCAGGTCCCATTCCCAGCCTCTCCCCTCCCCTCCCCCCTGCCATGTGGCAGCCCTGGCCACCAGAGCAGGCTTCCCCCCACTGCGCACCTGCAGCAGTTCCCAGCCTCCTGCCCCAGCAGCTTCTTCACCATGCTGTCTCAGCCATCCCTGCTCACTGGAGCAGCTGCCTGCCATACGAGTGCTGCTGCGCGGCTCCCCAGAGGAGGTGGGTGGGGGAAGAATTTTGTGCGTGCGGGTGTGCAGTCGCACACCTTAGCGGGAACTATGGTTGACATCCATTGGCAGAGCATGGAGGGTAGTTAACTCAGTGTATGGCAAACTCACTCATCTGCTGCCTTCTGTCTCCTACAGTGGGGGTCACTTTATGAGTACGGCCGAGAAGATCCGTCTGCCAGATGACTGCACCATTGGATACATCATAGAGTCCGTGCTAGGAGTGAAGCTTATCCGGAGTAATCTGTTCCACTCCCACCTGGAGAACCTCCATCAGGTGCCCAAGACAGAGATTCACAAACAGGTAAACCTGATCACAGCCAGGTGAAAAGGCCAGGGAAGGGCCACCTGGCACTGTTCACAGGTGGAACAGAGGAGTGGGATTTTTTTCTGTCCTCTCCTGTTCCTCCATGAGCACGGAACCAAGACAACTGGTTCAAAGGCCTCTCACCACAGTGCATGATGGGCCGGGAATGCTCGGAATTTAGGAAATTACTCTTGGTAAT